CCCTGACCCTGACCCCTCGCTCTTGCAGCTACCAGAGATTCGCCAGCTGCTACCGCTGCTTCTACAAGGTGCAGCCCCAGCTGACTAGGAGCATCTACGATCAGTTCATCTCTCAGCTGCAGTCGTCCATCAAGGTGAAGGGGGGAGCGGGCCCAGGGGGGGCTGCGGAGGGGATTGGAACCTCCAAAGGGACTTCAACCTCCCTGTGAAAAAAGCACTGAACGCGTCGGTTTTAAAGGAAGCAAATGCGTTTCTTGAATGGCAAAAGCAGAAAGCTGAGGCAGCTCCCCAAACTTCTCTGTCTTCCCCTGAAAGAGCTGTAGAATCATTAAGGTTGGAAAAGAGCCTGAAGACCATTAGGTCCAACTGCTCCCCCAGCACTGCCAGGGCCATCACCCATATCCCCAGGTGCCACATCCATACGTCTGTTAAATCCCTCCAGGGATGGAGACTCAATCCCTGATGATTCCCAGGATGGAGCCTGCATCCAGGGCAAAGCTGGAGAGACTTTGGACAAAGGCTGGGAGTGCCAGGACAAGGGGGAATGGTTCCCACTGCCAGAGGGCAGGGTTAGATGGGTTATTGGGAAGAAATCATTCCCTGTGAGTGTGGGGAGGCCCTGGCACAGGTTGCTCAGATAAGCTGTTGCTGCCCCATCCCTGGAAGTGTTCAAGGCCAGGTTTGATGGGGCTTGGAGCAACCTGGGCTAGTGGAAGGTGTCCCTGCCCATGGCAGGGGGTGAAACTGGATGAGCTCTAAGATTCCTTCTGACCCAGACCATTCCCTGGTTCCACGCCCAACAAGGGCTCACAAGTGGTGCCTGTGTTTGGGTCCTGCTGAATGCCTCTCATGTCCTTCCTTTGCAGGAGGAGATCCATGAGATAAAAAACGAAGGGAATCTGGAGGGGCTTTTTAACTCCCTGGATAAGATCGTGGAGGAAGCGAAGGACCGGGAGGAACCGGCGTGGTACAGATGGGGAGCAGAGGGATCCATGTTCCTTCAGGGGCAATGTGGGGTTCCTGGGTGACATTTGGATGCTGCTGGGAGGGTCTGAAACCTGCTGTATCTCTACAGCAACATCACTGGGCCTAAAACACCCAAAAATTAGTTAAATCTGTGCCTCTCTGGGTCAGAGATCCATCTCTGTGAGCTTCCTCAGCACAGGGAGGTCAGTGCCTCTGCGGAAAACCCAATTCTGGCTGGTCCGAAGGGCTGATAGGATGTTTTGGGCTCAGCTCCTGTCCAACAGCAGAGCTTCTCTGGGCCTCTGGCCCGATGCCTCAGCAGGTGCTGCTGGAAATGGGCCGGGGCTGTGAACCAGCAGCATCAGGGGGTTGTGTTTCTGTTGGGGAGGTGAATCACATCCTGCCTGCTCCAGGCCTCTGCTCCTGGTTGGGTTTGGGAAACTCCTCATTCCCTCCCAGGGGGTTCCCACTCTGACTGTCCTTGGCTCCCGGTGCCGGAGGAACTGCGGAGCTACTCCAGTGTGGCAGCAGCTCGGGGTCAGACTGGGGGGGGATGCCCTGCTGGGTGGGATCGCTGCTCTCTGGCTGCTCCAGGTGCCGCTGTGTCTCCAGGCGCCCCAGTGGGATCCCGGAGGAGGATGTCCGAAGTGCCCTGGTGCCCTACCTGCTGAAGCACCGCTCCTACCTGCGCAAGGTGCTCGGGGAGAAGGAGGAGGAGAACAGGAAGGTGGCCAAGTCCGTGCTGGCAGGGCGGGACAGGATTGCAGAGCTGCAGCAGCTCATCCAGGGTCGCAAACAAGCCTGGCAGGTAAAAACAGATAAAACCCTTCTCCTCACAGCACCAGCCCAAGGGAGGGTCAATGGTGCCCAGCTGGTGAACGACACTTAAACCCTCCACTTCTCCAAGGCCTCCCCAGCAACCAAGTCCTGCTGAAACTGGAGACCTGGGCATTTTCTCTGGACGTCTCAGGTGCTTTCCCTTTGCACTGAGTGGGATATGAGCTGTTCCCACCAGAGAGGAGGGGGTTGTGTTCTGTGTGTGCAGGGGACAGCAGTGTGTGTGATACACTCAGCCTTGAGCATGGCAGGGTGGGGAGCTGCATCCTGCTGAGCTCTGCGTGTTGTTTCCCTTCCAGGCAATTGGTAAAGAGCAGCGAGAGCTCATCACGACATTCCAGGAGCCCCAGTGAGGCCGTGGGGAGTCTCCCAGGTGGGATGTGCTCAGCCCCCCAAACTCAGAACTGCCCCATCAGGCCACTGCCCTGGGACTGGAAAAGCTGGCACAATCTGATCTGATTTGGTGAAGAAACAAAAATACATTGGGATCTTTGGAAACAGATTCCCTATTCCCCGCTCTGCTCAACAAGGAGGAGAGTCCCAAGAGTGTGTCTGTACGTTTACCTGGTCCCTCCCTGTTGTGACAGCCCTGATTCCAGCTACTAAAGCCACATTTCGGGCCTTGTAGGTATTTTAGCTGCATGTTAGACAAAAACCAGTGCCTTGTGCCCCAAGCTGGGCTATGGCCAGACCTGAGGAGCCTGGGAGCAGGAGCACATGCAGCCCAGGGCAGGTTCCAGCTGCCACAGCCCGTGAGGCAGCCGACATTCTTGCCCGTGTTTGCCGGTTCGTTCAGTCTCCGTGTGCCCACGGACGTGGCAGCAGCTGCTCCTCCAAGTCCCTCCTTGCCGTTTATTTTGTTTTCCCAAGTTATTCTCCAGCCCTGCTCCCCTTCCAGCAGCACGAGGGATCTGGGCATGTGCTGTTGGCATGCAGGGTTTGGAACGGCCTTGCCTCAGCTCTGTGGGCTCATGGCACAGGGAGTTTAATGTTTCCCTCTGGAACCTCCTGGAACCAGACTGATTTTACCCATCCGGAGTTGTCTGTTATGGCCTCGTTGGAAGTTTGCCTGGCTGGGAAAGTGAGGGCTCCTGGGATCTGCCTGGTGAAGCCCCACGAATGACAGTGTCTTCAGCGTGTAGGAAAGGTCATCCCTTGAGGCTGGGCAGGGAATGAGGAAAGTCCCCCGAGGACTGAAGGGGCAGCCACCGAGGGCAGCAGGTTCCAGGTCACCTGTCTGGGACAGCCCCAGGGAGAGGCCATGCCCTGGGACAAACCCAGAGCAGCAGTGGCCGCTCGCACCACGCCCTGGCCTCTGCAATTAGAGCCCTGGACGGAGCGGCTGCTGCAGTTTCCCCTCGCCGCGCTGGAATCTGAATAAATTGGGGCTTTTGTTCGTGGCTTGGCTCACTTGGCCCACTTACTCTGTACTTTATGGGTTTGTCTGACAGGCTCTAGGGTCAGCATTTCTCTCCTTCTCCACCCCAAAGCCTCCAGTTCCGCTTTTCAAGACAGGGCTGGGATTTATAGGATCTGAAAGCAGTCAGGATCCCAAATAGGAATCCCACCCAGCAGCCCCAAGGAATCCCACAGCTCAGAGCCCTCCTGGAGTTAAACAGGAGCAAACTGGGGGTGGGTGAGCACCCAGACACTGCTGGGGTCTGGGGGAGAGGAGCATGTGAAAGGATGGATAGATGTGAGAAGTTCTGCTGGTCCAGCTGTCCCGTGCACAGGGCCAGAACCACTAATTTTGTTCTGGAAAAGCCCCATTTGGGGGTTTTTAGAGATGCTGGACCTCTCTCAGGTCCTGCTTTTGAGACCAGCTGCTGCTCTGACCATGCAGCCTGTAGGATGTGTCATGGGGGAGTTGCATGAGACCAAGGGTACAGGCACCTGCCTGCTCGCCCTCCTCCTGGGACACAGCACAACACTACCAGAAGAGGAGCATGTGCCGGTCCCCAAAAAATGGGCCAACAAGTCCCCGCTGGCCCTGCACAGGGAGGAAAACCCCACAGGTTTTGTCAGGAAAGTGTACTGGTGTGGCAGCAGCCTGCTGGGATCCAGCAGTGGGAAGGGGGACAGGGTAGTGGGGGACTGTGAGTTTCCCAGTGCCCCATTGCCTGTCCCAGGGGTCACAGGGTGCTGCCAGGCCGGTAGGGCTGGGCCCACCAGGAAATCCCCCTTGGCCTGGGGCCGTGTTTCCCTCCCTTTGTGGGCTCTGGCCAGGCACGAGGGGACCAAGTTCATCCCAAACCACAATTGCCATCTGTTCCGGCAGCTCCGGCCGCAGCGGATGTGCTGGAAATAACCCTGGTGGGGCTGTGGCCTCCCCTCGCTGGGGCTGCAGCACCCTATAAATCCACTCGGGGAGCCGGGGGTGCAGCAAGCCCAGTGCAGGGACGCACCATGAAGCCCCTCGTGCTGCTGACCCTGCTGGCCCTGCTCACCCTGGGTGTCTGCCGCAGAGGTACCCGTGTGTCCGGGGATGTGATGGGACTGGGGGTGGGCCGTGCCTCGGGAAAGGCTCTGGAGGGAGCAAAGGGACTGGGGAGAGATTTGCTGAGCCCTGGGGCAGCGGGGGTACGGGGCTGGAGCAGAGAGATGGGGTGCCCTTTGACAGGCTGGGGAGTCTCAGTGATGGGTCTGAGCCTCCAAAGGAGTGAAGTGAGGGCAGGAGCCTGCACGGGACCTTCCCGAGCCCATCCACTGCTCCTTGTCACCTCTAGCTGCCCATCGCTCCACCAGCGCCGACGACTCTCCCAGCTCTGAAGGTGAGTGACCACGGCCATGTTGCCCCCGCTGTCCCAGGGACGGGGGGGCACAACCCCCCTGACGCACTGCGCTGTCCCTCAGCTTTCATCTCCAGGCGTGCCAGTGCCCAGGTGGTCCAGAGGCAGAAGCGGAATTACGGCTATGGCAGGTAGTGCTCGGTCCTGGGCCAGGGCTCACAGCCCCCAAGTGACACTGAGGGAGTCCCCGCTGGCTCCGCCCCTCTCCAGGAGCCTCCAGCCCCCATGGGACCCCCCAACACTCCCCTGAGTCCCCCGTCTGTCTCAGCAGCGTCTATGCAGCCCCGCCGGACCCGCTGGAGGCGAAGCGTGAGGTGTGCGAGCTCAACCCCGACTGTGACGAGCTGGCCGACCAGGTCGGTTTGCAGGAGGCGTATCGGCACTACTACGGCTTCGTGTAGCCCCCGCCGCCCTCTGGCCGAGCTGCGGGGCAGGGGCTGAGCTCTGAGCACCCCTCATCCCCCTCTTTACACCCTCTCTGTTAGCCCTGGAAAGAAATAAATGCATATTGTGGAGCCAGTTCCTTCCCGGGCTGGGGGGGTGGAGGGGTGGGAGGCTTCAGTGGATGTGCCCCACGTCCCCCCACCCCACACAGCTGAGGACCTCTGGCCCCCCTCCTTGTCCCCTCCCAGGCTCCACGGTGGAGTGATGTCACCACACCTGGATCCTGTCCCTGGCAATGAGGAACCCAGTGCTACACTACCATTATTCCAGTTTATTTTAAAGCTGCTTCTCCCAAGCGTGGGGTTATGGAGGACAGCAGGGCTTCTCTGTGCACCCCAGAGTCCTGCACCCTGCCCAGCTACGGGGCTTCTGTCACAAACCACCCTAATTACTCATTAACCCTGACACACACACACACACACACACACACACACACACACACACACATGCACACACTGCTGAGTCCCCATGTAGGGTGATGTATCATCCCTGCCCCAAATTCATGGAATCACAGCTGGTTTGTATTGGAAGAGACCTGAAAGCTCATCTTGTTCCACCTCTCCCTGCCATCGGCAGGGACACCTTCCACTAGCCCAGGTTGCTCCAAGCCCCATCCAACCTGGCCTTGGACACTTCCAGGGATGGAGCAGCCACAGCTTCTCTGGGCAACCTGTGCCAGGGCCTCACCACCCACCTCCTGCACCCATCTCCCAGTTCACCTCCTGCCACAGCCCCTGGAGTCCTGTGGGACAAGACCACTGGCCCATGCTCAGCCAGGGCACTGGGGAGAACCCCATCAACCTCTGCTCCCACCACTTGCAGCCTCTGCCAGTCCTCCACACCTTTCCCTGAGCCCAAACCCCTCAGTTCTGCCTCCAGCCCTGTGCATGCAGCCCCTGGGGCTGATACCGAGCAGTGGCCATGCCGCAGCAAGACATGGACACACAGGCACAGACACAGAGACACACAGACGTGTTCCAGAGGCTTGGCACCTTGGCTTTGGGCCTAAGCAATGGGAACCACCAAGAGGACCCCACAGCTGAGAAGGAGGAAACCTCCATCCCCAATTTCCTTACCCCAAACATACCAGGAGCAGCAGGAGAGGCCAGTGCAGACAAAGGAGTTCAAAGCAAAGGACAAAGTATCAGTGCCAAAAGCTGCTGACTCAGTAGTTCACCATCGTGGAGGCACTGTAGGCAAACATCGAGGGGCCTGAGGCTCCCTGCCCCATCCGCACCCCTGTGCCAGCCCCTCTTCACAGAGTTCCCCCAGGCTAGAGGGACCGAGGGCTCTGCAATTGCAGAAGCAGCAGGTGTGGCGGGCGGGTGCTGACATGGAGCTGAAGGCGTGGGTGCAGCTGGAGAGGAAGGGGTAGAGGCAGAGCAGCAGGTAGACGAGCAGGGGCTGAGGGTGGGGCTCCTGGCAGAGCTCTAGGGAGGAGGAGAGCACCAGGAAGTGCCACAGGAAATACCTACGAGGGCAGAGCATGTTTGGGTGAGCTCCATCCCAGTTCCCTCTCCTGATCTCTGTCCCTGTCTTCCTCCTTGTCCCTATCTCCATCTATATCCCCTCTTCACCCCCAGCCCTGTTCCCAGCCCTGTCCCCATCTCCATGGCTGTCTCTTGCCCCCATTCCCATCTCCATCCTTTCATCACTCCCATCCTTGTCCCTGTCCCCATCCCGTCTCCATCCTCATCCCTGTCACTATCATGTATTCCCACGCCCATCAACACTCCTATTCCCATCCTCGTCTCCATCCCTGTCCCATCCCCAACAGGTCAGCAGGAAGTGTGCCCAGATGCAACTGTCTCGTTCTTCATCTAGAAGGAGCTGAGGGCACAGCCATGGGCTGAGCTCTTGGGGTGCCGCTATCCTGACATGATCCCACTCTCCCAGAAGATCTGTGGGGACATTAGGGCTGGTCAGGGAACATCCCGGGGGGGTGGGGCAGCCCAAGATCTGCTGTGGGGTTATGAGTAGGGTTATGGTGGGTGGGGAAACTGAGGCAGGGTGGGCTGGGAGTATCTCCCAGCTGGAGCAAGGCTGGGTGGGGAGTCCAGATGATTTCCCACCTCGAATGAGGGAACTGGGGAAAGAATCCTGGCGGCAGAGCCCCCTTCCCCCAGCCACACCTTGTGGACCCTGAAGATCTGAGGCAGCTTTACCAGCAGCATCCCGGGGCCGCAGTGCTCAGGGCGAGAAGGGCTCGGGGCTCAGGGCTGCAGGAGCCAGGACGGACACGCCCTAGAAGGCTCCCGGCTTTTTTCCAGGGTTGTGCCCAGCAAAGTCCACTCTCTGACTCTTTCAGAGAGTCACGGGCTAGGCAAGATCAAGATCCCAGGCCCAGGATGGGGGGAGCATGGTGGGGCCATGGGTGGGTGCTGGCAGCTGTCAGGTGGGCTGCAGGAAAGAGCCAGATCCTGCCTCATCCCCGCAGAGGCTCCCAGCCCTGGGGATGTCCCGGGCAGACGCAGCCTTAGGGCAAGGCCAGCATGGCAGAGATGAGCCCACTCAAATACCCTGGAGATAGGACCCCTCACCGTGCAGGGGGAGTTACCGCCGGTGTGCTGCGGGGCTTGGATGAGGGCACAGGAACCTCCACCGCTGGAGGGGCCATTGCAAAGTGGCTCCAGGCACCGGATCTTAAATTGCCACCGAACTGGGAGAACTGGGGCAGGCGACAGAGCCGAGTGCAGGTCCACGCAGGGACTCTCATAAACACCCAGGTGGATCCCACCAGAGGAGAACTGGGAGGGGAGAGGTGGAAAACTCAAAAGTCTGGGGAAACAAAACTGGCCTGGCAGCAGCAGGAGGGCTGGTGGCGGCTCTGGCTCAGTCCATGGGGGCGATGCCATCAGAGGCTCCGCACCGCAGCTGGACGGAGCAACTGCTCGCAGGCGAAGGGCTGAGCTGAAAGCAGGATCAGTGCCTTCCAAGTCCCCATCCTTGGGGATTTAGTGACCCCCGGAGGGCTTGTGTTGGGTGCTGGGCACTGCATGAGCAGCTCAAATCCACCCTGTGCCTGCCCGGGACTCAGCAGCCAGTCCACACCAGCAGGTCTCTGCTGCTCCAGCAGCCCCGGCCAAGGGGAAGCCGTGGGTCCCCAGTAGTGTTGGCAGGAGGCCTGTTGGGAGGGTTTGGGGTCTCCACGCCAGCATGCAGACCCTGGTGCTGAACAGTCCCTCCAAAATAACCTGCATAAGCACAGCAAAACCAGGTAGGGTTCAGGGCAGGGGAATGACACATCTTGCCAGGGGAAGGGGGAAGTGGAGGCACAGAGAGAGAGGGGAATGGGCTGTGAGGCTGGAGAGATGGCAGCTCCTGGGGTCCCTGAGGACTCGGCTCCCCAACGAGCAGGACCAGGAGTCCCAGCCCCTGACCAGTGTTGTGACCTTTTCCTGTTTCAGTTTCATCCTCAGTCCATTCCCATGCAAAGGGCATGGGACAAACTCCCACCCATGGTACCCCTGCAGCAACACGCTGCCTGTAGGGACTGATGATGAAGGCTCAGGGTTTGTTATGGGGCCAGCAGCACATCCACAGCCTATACAGGGCCAGGAATGCCAGTGGCCTCTTGGCACAGTCCTCCTGAGCTGGAAGAGATGTTCCCAGCCCCACTGGAGGAGATGGAGCCAGCAGTGACAGCCCCTTTGTGCCAGGGCGGTGTTGGGACACAGGGCACGTCTCAGCCACAGCCCATTCCCTCACTGGGGACTGAAGCCGGATTTGCCTTTTCACAACCCCCCTCTCCGAGCTTCCCACTGCTGGCAGTCTCCAAAGAATGGGAGAGGGAGAGGGAATTATGCCAGTGCCTGGCTCGGTGCTTTCCACTAGTAGAGCAAATCAGGGAGCTCTGCTGGTGAGTCAGAATGAATACAGGGAAGGGAACACCGATTCATTTTCTTTTCCTCCTACAAAACATTCTTCAGCTTCCCTTGTCACTAGCATGTGGTGGGACCCAGCCCCACCCACTGTGCCCAGTGCCTGGAATGGACACCAAAAAGTTACGTATTTTAAAAATTTACACTTTCCCCCTCCCCTGTTAAAACCAGGCTGCAAAGGCACCCAGTGAGCCACAGCAGGTTCTTCTGCTGGGATTGGAGGTATTCCTGTGGCAGCAGCACGTGGAATCCTGGAAAGAGGGTGAACTCATCCCAAACTGCAGAGGCAGCAATGGAAATGCTATTTCCATCAGAAGGACAAGGAAGGATCCACCTGCATTTTTTTTCCCGAAAAGCAGAAAGTTTGGTCAGCAAAGCACACATCTGAGGGCAGATTCTGAGACAGAGAACGCAGCCAACTCTGGGGCTGCACAGGAAAGGCAGGATGGTGTGGGAAGGACCACAGGATACGAGGTACAAACATCTCATTTTATTAAGCCAGTCAATGTGTTCGGACCACTGTCACATGCTGCGAGCCCCAGCCCCTCCTCGCCCAGCTGGGCCCTGTGCCCCCTTGTCCCCCAGCGAGAGCGAAACCCCCTGACTCTGCAGGCCCGTGTGCCACAGGAGGGCTGAGGAGAGGTGATTGTCCCTTGCCTCGAACCAACAGTCCCCTCGCTGCCAGTGGCAGGGCCAGCGACACAGCCCCTGTGCCAGCCCGCCCTGTCCCCACCCCGGCTGGCTGGGCCAGCGCTGCCACGTGCCAACAAGGAAAAGAACCCTAAATTGAAGATGCAAGAGGAAACCCGAGGCACTGCAGGTGGCCTCAAGCCCAGCAAGGATGGGAGCAGAGGAATGAGTTGCTCCAAACAGCCCATGAAACCACGGAGCAGAAGCCCAACGAGCACCAGCGGCCGTGTCCACCCTGGTGTGAGGACAGCCCAGCCAGTCTCAGCCACCACAGATCTACATCCTCCCAGCATGGGGTCACCCCAAAAACCCCCAACAGCTCAACTGGGTGGTAACAAAGAGAAAACCAAACACAAGAAACACACAAAACCACATGAAAACCCTTGGTTTTGGCCCACAAGATGGTTTTTCCATTTGCCCTCCCTCCCAGCACAGCGGCTGCTATGGAACTGGATTGGATCTGGTCTGGGTAAGCCTGGAGTCAGTGCAGGAGCAGCACTGCAGGGATGAGCTGTGGCAGCGCCTGCACAGTCTCCATCCTGCCCGATGCTCTCGTGGTGAGGCAGCTCACAGCTCTGGCTGGGATGCACAGGCTGGGGGGTGTCTGAGGGAGACCCCACCACAGCGCACAGGAGCCACAGGATACATGGAGCCTCCCACAGACCGTCCTGTTTGCTCTGCATCAGTGACCACCACCCCAGGGCAGGGACACCACTGCTGGGGTGTGGATGATGCACCAAATCCCAGGATGAGCAAACAGGCACAGGCCCTCGGACAGAGCAGATCTGTGCGATTTATCCCCAGGGAGGAAACTCCAGCTCATCCCAAGCACTGGGATGGGGGCTGAGAAGTGCCTTCCTTTACCCCAACCCTAAAGATGACACATTGAGCCCCCCCAGAAGACCATGTGTGCCAGAGGACCCCACGTGCCATCCCCCTGAGGCCGCTTTGCAGCCACACAGCTCCAGAGCTTTGGAGTCTACTGCTTTTTAAGCTCCATGTATCTGAGTGGGAACATGCATCCCAAAACCATTCAGCAGGTCCTCAACCACAGCCACGCACTCCAGAGAGGAGGAGGGTGGCACAGGGACCCTTCGGTTTAGAAGGTTTAGAAGGTCATGATCCATCCCAATGCAGCCCAGGGTGGAAGGTGCCACAGGGCAGTCAGGATTCCCCATTGCAGGGCAAAGGGTTCCTCCTTCCCTCCAGGTGTACAAAACCTCAGGGAATATTAAACCAACCCCTCAGGGAACAAGAGCAGTTACTAAGGACAGCCTCTGCTTTCGCCATGTGGCCCCGCATGGGCTCATGGTCGCTCCACAAACTCTGGTTACAGAAATTGAGTTTATTTACTTTTGTTCTTAAACTGTGTCCTGTGCCCAAACGAGGCATTTGGTGACCCAGGACACTCTGCCAGCCCCAGCCTCCAGCCCCAGCCCCTGACCCCATGGCACTTGGCTCCCAGCTCCCACCCTGCACAGCTCTGGGAGATGCACAAACTGAGACGCCACCAGTGAGACAGGGATTCCCTCTGGGCTGCTGTTCTGCCTGCACTGCTCTTCCCTCCCCTCCAGATCCAGCTGGGACCAAGGGAACAACCAGCCTGGAACAAAGCTGAGCAGTACCCCCAGCTCCTCACTGCTCTGATTACAGCTGCTCTTCACCAACCCCAAGCGCGGCTGGGGGATGATGGCGAGGGCTCTCAGGAGACACATATAGTCAGGCTCAGCCCCAGCTGACTCCCAGACGGTTCTGCTGTGCTCAGGATCAGGGGAGTTCCCCATCAGCAGGAAAAAGCAGAGCCCACCATGCCCTCGAGCCAGGCCCCCACCAGACAAGGAGTGTTTCACCACAAGAGCACTCTGCATATCAGCTGAGGTGCAGAGGGTGATGCCTCTGCTTTCCACCACATCCCACAAGGTGATTCCCTTCTCTTTTCCCACCCCATCAAACAGAAATAATGAGTTACACAAACACCACCACTGGAGGGAAGAGTGACTGTGAGTTTCACAGCCCATCTCAGGTATCTAAGAACTTCCAAGGTGAGCCAGAGTCTTTGACCTGCTGTCCTGTGTATGTCCTTTCCTTGGCATAGCCAAGCAAAGCACTTTGTTTCAGGAAGAGCTGCAAAATGGAAAATCCTGTAGGGAGACCCCTGTTCCTCCCTCACCCCCACCTGCCAGCCTCCAGGGATGGATCCAGCTGAACTGTGGAGCTTGGCATTTCCCTCTGCTGCGTTGCAAAGGAGCTGGAACTGGAAAAGAAATGAATTCTCTGGGACTTGTGCTGGTATTCTTAGTTTTTACCTGAAAAAAAGGAACATCCTGCCCTTGCAGTACAACACACTGTGCTCAGAGCCCACACAGACTGGAGGATGTGACTTGCCTTCCCGTGTTACGCCCCGGCTGTAGCAGCTTCTGGCTGGCTCGTGTGAGAACACACACAGGTAGAAGACTCCAGTGGTTTGTACTTGCATAGCTGCTGCTGGTTCATGTAGGTGGAGATGTCTGATCCATGGGCACACAGAGGCAGAGGGAGCACAAAGAGGTCAACCAGCCCCTCTCCTACTGCCCTGTGAGGAACCTGCGACTTCACATCCGAGC